GTTTATGGTGTAAGAAAGTGGTCCAGTTTCATTCTTTTGCATGTAGCTGTTCAGTTTACCCAACACCGTTTATTGAAGAGGTGGTCTTTTCCCCATTATGTATTCTTGCCTCCTTTGTTGTAGATTATAGATTAATTTAACATATAGGCATGGTTTATTTCTGGGCCCATTGTTCTGTTCCATTGATCTGTGTGTCTCTTTTTGTGTCCGTATCATAGTGTTTTAATTACAACAGCTTTACAGTATATCATGAAACCTGGGATTATGATACCTTTAGCTTTGTTCTTTCTCAAGATTGCTTTGGCTATTATGGTCCTTTGTGGTTCTACATAAATTTTAGTATTATAGTTCTGTGAAAAATGCTACTGGTATTTTGATAGGAATTACATTGAATCTGTAGATTGCTTTGGGTAGTATGGACATTTTAGTAATATTTTTCCAATCTTGATGTGATTTCAATCTTACTAAATTTATTGAGACTTGTTTTGTGGCCTAACATGTGATCTATCCTGGAGAATGTTCCATGTGCACTTGAAAAGAATGTGTATTCTGTTTTTAGATGAAATATTCTGTATATATCTATACAGTCCATCTGGTCTAGTGTGTCAAAGAGGCTGTTTCTTGATTTTTTTTTTTTTTTTCAATCTAGATGATTGGCCCATTGATGTAAGTGGGGGTGTTAAACTCTCTTGTTATTGTACTGTCATTTTCTCCCTCCAATGTCTGTTAATACTTTATGTATTTAGTTACTCCAGTGTTGGGTGATAAATATTTGTAATTGTTATATTCTCTTGTTGGATTGACCTCTTTATCATTATGTAATGTCTTTATCTCTTGCTACAGTCTTTGCTTTAAAGTCTATTTTGTCTATTCTAAGTATTGCTATCCCAGCTTTTTCTTTTTCTTCTATTTGCATGGTTCTTCTTCCATACTTTTACTTTCAGTCTGTATGTGTCTTTAGGTGTGAGGTGAGTTTCTTATAGGCAGCACATAGATGAATCTTGTTTTTTTTTAATCCATCTGTCACCCTATGTCTTTTGATTGGAACATTTAGACCATTTAAATGTAAAGTAATTATTGATAGGTATGTACGTATTGCCATTTTGTTAATTGTTTTATGGATGTTTTTGTAGTTCTTCTCTGTTCCCTCTTTCTTTGAGGACTTTCTGTAGTGTTATGCTTGGGTCTATTTTTTGTGTATTTATTAAAGGTTTTGGGTTTGTGGTTACCATGAAGTTCATATATGGGATAATGCAGTCATATATTAAGTTGATGGTCATTTAAGTTCAAACACATTTTAAAAGAACTTTTTTACTCCCCTTTCCATGTTCTATGTATATGTTGTCATATTTTACATTTTTTATTCATAAGTTTCTTCTATTTTATTTTAAAAGATTTTTATTCATTTACTTGAGAGACAGAGAAAGCACAGCTGGGGGGAAGGGTAGAGGGAGAGGGAGAAGCAGGCTCCCAGCTGAGCAGGGAGCCCAACTCGGGGCTTGATCCCAGGACCTCGGGATCATGACCTGAGCTGAAGGCAGATGCCTAACCAACTGAGCCACCCAGGCACCCCAAGTTTCTTCTATTGGTGGCTCTTTTTTTCCCCCCCACTTAAAGAAGTCCCTTTAACATTTCTTGTAAGGCTGGTTTAGTGGTGATGAATTCCTTTAACTTTTCTTTGTCTGGGGGAAACTCTTTATCTCTCCAATTCTGATTAATAACCTTGTTGCTTTTAAAATTCTCTTTATCTTTAACCTTGGACATTTAAATTATGTGCAGTGGTGTGGACCTCCTTGCATTCATCTTGTTTGGAACTCTCTGTGCTTCCTGATCTTCGATGTCTGTTTCCTTCCCTAGGTTAGGAAAATTTTCAGCTATTGTTTCTTCAAATAAGTTTTCTGCCCCTTTCTCTGCCTTCTCCTTCTGGGACCCCTATAATACAAATGCTTGTTTGTTTGATGTTGTCCAAGAGATCCTTTATTCTAGCCTCATTTTTTAAAGTTTTTTTCTTTTTGCTGTTCAGTTTGGGTGCTTTCTATTACCCTGTTTTCCAGATCATTGATCCATTCTTCTGTATCTGCTAATCTACTGTTGACTCCCTCTAGTATATTTTTCGTTTCAGTTATTGTATTCAATTTTGATTTGTTCTTTTTTATATCTTCTGTGTCTTTGTTGAAGTTCTCACTACTCTTCTCTCCAGTCTGGTGAGCATCTTTATGATCATTACTTTAAACTCTTCATCGGGCATTTTGCTTATCTCGGTTTTGTTTAATTTTTTTTGGGGGGGTGTCTTATTCTTTGGGAGTATATACATCTGTCCCCCCATTTTGCTTGACCTGCTGTGTTTGTTGCTTTGAATTAGGTGGAATAGCTACTTCTCCTAAACTTAAAGGAATGGTCTTGTGTATGGTTTTTCCCTGTGTGGACTGTTTGTGCCTGGTGGCATTGGCTGGCTGGAGCTGTGTCTGGTGTGGGCTAGGGGTTTGGGGCTCACTGAGGTAGTAGACTGACTATGGCACCTGGACCTTGGTCCTGTCCACACTATCAAGGTGAAGGGAGAATGTAAACAATGGTGCTCCCCATCCCCTCTAACCCAGAGAGAGTTCCAGCAGCTCCCCTGCCGCTGGATGGAGTTCTAAATCTGGCTCTTTTATATTCCAGGTGTTCTTAAAAGCTGTGGGTTTTTTTTCTGTGCCCCAGGGTGTCTGGGGTTGGTGTGAGCTGGAGATCTGGCGCTCACTGAGGCAGCAGGCTGCCTACAGTGCCCAGACCCTGCTCCTGTCTGGGCTATCCATGTGGAAGATGAATGTAAACCGTGGTCCTTGCCAGCCCCTTGACCGTGGAGAGCATTCCAGCAGCTCCCTTGCTATTTGGTGGACTTCCAAGGCTGGATCTTTTATGTTCTAGTTGTTCTTTTAAACCATGTTTTTTTCCTGTGCCTTAGTGCAGACAAATCTGCTCAGTCCCTCAGTACTATCCCCCATTCCACACTGCAGTTTGCAGTGTTGGGGGTGAACGTTCCCTTCCTTACTGTGTCTCCATCTCGCTTGCCCGTTCTCTGTGGCCTCTTTATCTTTTGTTGTGCAGAAGCTGTTCAGTCAGCCCTCAGTTCTTCTTCAGGAGGAACTGCTCTATAAACTGGTGTAAATTTGGTGTGTCTATGGAGAAGAGTTCAGAGTCTTCCTATGCCACCATCTTGAACCAGAGCTCTGTATCTGATAATTTTTAACAATAGTAAGGTGGAGAGAATTACCTTACAGGTTTCAAGACCTATTGTGAAGTTACAGTAATTTGATATAATCTGTTTACAGATAAACATACATCAGTGGAATTAAATGGACAAAACCAGATATGCACATACACATATGTATAATATATGTTAAATACATAAACAAAATATGTGTATGCATGAGATGCAAGAATTGTATGCATGTATACTAAAATGTATGCCAAAAGATGTTTATTGAAACATCTTTTGTAATAGAGAAACATTGGAAATGACCTAAATGCCCATTCACAGGAGAAAGGAATGGATAAATTCCATTACATTCATATGGTAGAATACTATTCAACTGTGAAAATCAGTGAAGATGGCACCCACGTGGGAAGTGAGAAAACCACATACTTGCATCCTGAAAAGTTTGAAGGGAATTCTCCCTTTGATGTAAGGGAAACTGGCTGGACAGCTACCAATAGAGATGGTAGTGAAACCTGCTGGAGGTGGTCTTCCCCTGGATCAGCCACATACCACAGGCTGGAAAGGTGCTCAGGGGCAAGGATGCTCACTGCTGGCAGCCGCAGCATGAGAACAATGAGATAAAGCACTGGAACCAGGAAGAAGAGTCCCTTTGTCTTACAATGTCCCTTTTGAACCTGGAGAAATGTTTGAGTCCTGCTCAAGAACCACCAAGGAGGACAAAAAGCATAGACTGGTAGCTTGAGAGGCAATGAATTTATGTGACCAAAGCACAACTCATAGTATCTGTTTTATAAATCAAAGTATCCTTCTCAACAGCACTTCTTGGATGAAATTCCTACAATAGAATTATTCTCTATTGCAAAGAGAGTTACTGCAAGTAAAATTTGTACTTTATAGTAGTAACTTGAGGGTATATTAACTTTAGGAAGTAAAGAATTCTGGGGGCGGGGAATGAAGTTTTAGCCATGGAGAAGGGAGGCAAGGCTGAGTAAACTTTGGACACCATTTAGATTCAGATAAATTTCCAGAGGAAGATAGGACTAGTTTTCCAATGAATTGTCTTGTTATTCTTAACAAAACCCAATTGTCCATAAATATGAGTTTAGAAATAAACTTCATGTTTATGCTTATGCAGTCTTCATTATTATAGCTTTGTAGTAAGTTGTGAAATGTGGAAATATGTGTCTGCCAACTTCTTTCTCAAGATTGTTTGGCTGTTCTGGATCCTTATATTTCCATGTAAATTTTATGATCCACTTGTTAATTTCTACCTAAAAAATACAGCTGAGATTTTGAAAGGGAATGTGTTGAATCTGTAGATAATTTTGGGGGTAAGGAGTATTGCATCTTAATATTTGTCTTACAATCCATGAGCATAGGATGCCTTTCCATTTATTAAAGTTGCCTTTAATTTTTTTCAGTAATGTTTTATAGCTTTCATTATGCAAGTCTTACACTTAAATTTATTCCTATTTTATCCTTTTTTATTCTATTGTAAATGATTTCTTAATTTCAGTTTTGGATTGTTCATTGCTAGTGTCTAAAAATATGACTGATTTTTTTTTCATTGGTCTTATATAAGCAACATTGCTGAATATATACCTTAGTTCTAATAATTTTTTGTGGATTCCTTATGACTTTCTGTACAAAACATTATGCCATCTGTCGAGGAGGTTTTAGAATATTTTGGATGATATGTGCTTTATATTAGACACTGTAAAAGTTGTTTGAGTGAATCAATTGTAGCATTAACAAAGTGAACAGTTATTTTTTTTTGTAATTTTTGTATTTTTTCATACAGGACAAATCAGCCAGGAGAGAAAAATCCAAGACACCAGTCAGATTTTTACCACAGTCATCTACGGTAATTTACCAGTATATTCTCATACTTTATTGCTTTATAATAAGGTTACTGGATTTCTGGGTTTAAATTCTCTGCTCCACATCATTCTTTTCTGATGGATAACATCTATGATATACGTATCTTCAGAAAAATAACTAGCTTAATAAAGGAATTATAAGTTATAGTTACTGGTATGCATGGGGGATACTTGCAAATAAGTTCCTGAATTTCTGGTTTTAAATTCTGTGCTCCATTTCATTCTTTTCTGATGCATAGCATCTGTGATATACATATCTTGGGGGAAAATAACTAGCTTAATAAGGGAATCATAAGTTATAATTACTGGTATGCACAGAATACTTGAGTATTCTGAATAAAAGAATTGTGAAGATGGCCTAGCAGAAGCAGTATTGGAATCAGGAAATGAGGACTTGGGTTATAGCTTTGTCACTAATGGCTCTGTGCCTGTTGGCAAGTCCCTTACATTTTTGAGCCCCTATTTCTAAGTCTGAAAATGAAAAGTGTTGGTTTAATGAACTTTGAGGAGATGCCTCTTCCAGCGCTAAGATGTGACTTCTTAGATCTTGGCATCCTTTGTCATTATTTTGACTTTAAATTATCATTACTCTGTGGAAGCGGCAGTTAATAGACCTTTTTAGTAGATAAAGTGCTAGAAAAGTTAGAGTTTACTGCAATAAAATTTACTATCTAGTAATTATGTTGAGTTTAATGCCATAGAGTTACACACTTGTGATTGCTGGAAGTTGAGTTTAAGTGGAGGTTCAGTGCAAACATTATTTGTTTGAAACATCTTTTAAAACCACAGAATAAACTATAAAATATGGATTGCTTCATGCAGAGAGGATTCCTAATAATTTGAAATACAAGCTTCTTTCAGCTTAAAAATCTCAAATAAAATTTTGCAGGTGAATGTTCTTGAACATTTCAAAGTACGTGTTAACTATGAACCTGTTTGTATTGATAATGCCAAGACTATCATACCATGTTTTATAAAATAAAATCATAGCATCTTTTTTTATTATGTTATGTTAATCACCATACATTACATCATTAGTTTTTGATGTAGTGTTCCATGATTCTTTATTTGCGTATAACACCAAGTGCTCCATTCAGTATGTGCCCTCTTTAATACCCATCACCAGGCTAACCCATCC